GAGGTTTTGCCCTCTCCCCTTGCTTGGAATGTATTCCTTTGCCTCCTCATTTTCCCTTATTCTCTGTGTTTATATCTATATAATATGTGGGTCAGCTACATCTCCTGATCTTGGAGAAGTGGGCTTGTGTAGGAGACATCTTTTGAGGCCCAGCAGTGGGCTTCTCTCTTATCACCAGTTCCAAATGTTGCAGGAGTGACCCCTGTATGGGCTACATATGTCCTTCAGCTGTGGCAGGGTTTCTCTTGCTGCAGATGCCCAGGGTGTCTAGGCTTTCCCCCTGACTGGCTGGTTATAATGCTCAGCTGCATCCAGCTGCTATGGATGATTGAGTCAGTTTACCAGGTTTGGGGAGCCCTAGCACAGTTGTCTGAAAAGTCTAATAGTACCTTCCTGTTGCAGTTTTCTGTTAAGTGAGTAACCCCTAAGTATGGCTGGTTGCAAGACTCGGGGGGCTTACAATTGTAGGTCTCTAGCCTGTAAGGCTGTTGTCAGCTCTCTCAGGATTGCATCTGAGTGGGGCTGGCCCCAGGCAAGAAAGTATCCAATTGTTTCAGGCTTTTGAAGGTAGGGCTGATCCCCTATGTTGCTGTTTGAGAAGCAGGGGGCTTCTGCTGCTGATAAGCCGCAGGGCCCACAGGTCCACAGTAATCATCAATACAGTCCCGGTTCACACACACTTCCTGACCCCCTGGAGAGGACCCAATTACCCCACTGCAGAGGTCCTCACACACTCCACCAATGCCCCACACCCTCCACCTATTTCTCACAGACACCCTACCACACAGAAGCATACCCAATCTCCTGCCTACAAAAGATCCAGGCTCCCAGTTTATGCAGGCCAAAAAGTTGCTTGAGGGCTTGTTTTTGGGTGGGGCCAGTCACTAGGTTGGGCTACCTGCCAAGACTGAGCTGGATTAAATCAGCACTCTAGCAGGTGGGGAAGACCCTGGGCTAACAGGCCAGAAAGAAAACTCCAATGGTGTCTTCCAGCATCTTTCTTATCATGCCCGTGCTAGGTTACAATAATGGCTGACACCAATGTCTCAGTCCCTGGACAGGTCTCACCTCTCACCAAGATGTACCCAGAACCTATCAGGCTTTTTCCTTTTTGCCAAAGGACTGTGAATTTTTCTTTCTGGAAATTTTAGGTTGCTTTCTGAAATGGATGAATTTGTGCATGCGCCCTTTAAGAGATAGCTGTTTTCCGCTTATGTCCAATAGCTTTTCTAGGGTTATTCCCCGTTGTAGTTAATAGTCAGAAAATTCAGATATTATGAGACTCATCTGAGTTGTGCTGAGTCTGAAGGATACTTATAGTGATAATAGTCATCTGCTCAGGTACCTCACTCCTCCCAGGAAGGCTGTGTACCTTAAGATTGCTCCCAGGGGCCGGCTGGGTGGCACAGTGGTTAAGTGTGCACATTCTGCTTCAGTGGCCCAAGGTTCACAGGTTTGGATCCCAGGTGCAGACAAGACACCCTGTGGCAAAGCATGCTGTGGTAGGCGTCCCACATATAGAGTAGAAGAAGTTGGGCACTGATGTTAGCTCAGGTCTTCCAGACAGGAATTGCTACCTCTTCCATCTCAGTCAGGACTGTCCCTTGTTGTGGGGATTTCTTTTATCCAGTTTTCAATTCTATCTCAAGAGTAGTGGTTCCAAACATAGCTGTAACTTGGTTGTGTTCATGTGAGGAGCTGAGTTCAGAGTTCGCCTAAGCTGCCATCTTGTCACCCTCTCTGTCATTTTAATTTTAGCCATTATGTAGAGTATGTAATTTCCATGATGACTAATAAATTTGAATAGCCACTTTTACAAAGTGTCTCTTGAAGTCCAATTGCAGAATAGAAGCTCTGTTAAACGGTCCCACTTGATGGTATTGGGGCTTCTTCAACCCATGCTATCTCTCATTGCCACTTCCATTCCAGATCAAATTGTCCTAGAATTGTGATGTAGTCACAATCATATATTATTTTCTTTAATCTCCCCAAAGTTAGAAGTGGGTTTCTGCATTATGCATTGATAAAATCCTATCAACATGGATACACAATGGGGTAGCTGTAATGCACAATAAAGATTATCCAATTCAAAACCCTCTTTGTACAGAGTGGAACTGAGGATCCAAAAGGGGAAGGTCACAATTATTGTATGTTGATAGTAGAGATTCAGACTCAACTTTTCTGTCATTGCTTCTCTAGTTCATAATGTATTTCTAGAGAGGATTTCAAGCAGGCTAAATTTGTTTCCTCTTAAGAAAGAGTTACACATTTATAAAAATAGTGAGAATTGTTACTGTTTTGATTTAGAAGTTTTGCTAACCAGCTTTTCATCAGTGTGAAGCTAACTGCTTGTACCATTCATATACATACTATCTGTCATCACTGGTTATACTTATGATTAGAGATGCCAGTGCATGGTCAGAAATAAGGAACTCTTATGAAGGACTAGACCTATAGTATTGACTCATTACGTGCAGACATTGATAATATTTTATCTAAATTATATTTGCAACCAACTGGTGGTGAGTATTCTATGAGACACAGATGAGTTAGAGAAACAGAGAGTTAAGAGAGTGGTTAGGATTGAATTCGATAGGGCAAATTAGATTAAAGAATTTCAATGCTAGCTTTCCCCATTTTCTTTAGAAAATCAAAACAAAAAACTCCTGAAGGTCATTAACCCAAGCCCCTACTTGAAACTTGAATTCCTCAATGTTTCCACTAAGTGATAATTCATCTGCTACTTTCACAAACTGAAACACAGGGATTTCACAAATTTTAACAACCAGTCTGTTCCATTTTTAGGTTCTCTTTTATTGAGCTTGAAGTACCTCAGTTTATAGACTTAACATTTTCTTCTCTTTAGTTTACACATTAGACTTAGATTTGCTTACAGGAGTCCAGATGCAGATAAAATACATCACAATTGTCTTATGGGGGACAATTTGCTAATTGATAGCATCTTTATAGTTATGATATGGACACCCAACTTTGCTTGGGCTTTAGTCTAATTCAATCTCACTTCTGCCAAGTTGCTGTTCAAGGTAGCACATAATTCATAGGTAAAATTTCCTAAAGAGCATGGGTTAATTGAGGAAATATTATGACTTAAGAAAGCTTCCCCCATTGTTTTTTTCTACCGCTATACTTCCCCCTACCATGTCTCAGATTCCCAGAAAGACTATCACCCTGGAAAGCAGAGGAATCTCATTGTCCTTCTTGGGCTTAACCATTAATCTGAAATGTTTTCACTCAAAGAAATTTTACAAAGTCACCCACATAGCCTTAGATATTGAATGACTTTTAGCTTGTGTAATTGTAGCAAACGTAAGAGTGCCCTTGATTCTTGTATGGTCTTTCAGATGCATGTCCTTGTCCTGTTTTTAAACAAGCCACTTCCACTGATTTGATCATCACCAAACTAGAGCAGACCCATGTGAAGTTGTTAAATATCTTGTAAACACTCAGATAAGAGCTTTTCACTTTAATTATTTTTGCAATAATATATTTGTATATTTTTAACTTTCCACTACCTTTAGCATCCACAACCACTTTATATACTTACATATAAGATACAAAAATGAATTCAAGTCACATACTAGACCCTCAGTGATTATTTCTGTTTCATATCAATAAATATTCAATAAAAATTAACATCTTTTATGTCTTTCTTTCTTTACCCAGATGCTATGCTCTTGCTTGGGTAAAGAGATAAAACGCACTGTCCTTAAACTGAGAATGTTCAAAACCCCAAATTGAAGACAATGATTTAGAAAAGAGAGTCATAGATTCAACAATGTTCTGAGACAAACGGTGGTGTGTGAACCAACCTTAGAGTGTGCTTGAAGGAAGGAAAGACCCCTGCAGGAAGTGACTGGGTTGTGAATTGTAGCTGTATAACCCTCCACACTGATTTTCTTCTAATTCTGCAGAAATGGTATAGTTCTGTCCAACTTGGCCTCTTTTAATTGCTGATCCATCTACCTAGAGTGCTTTTTTTCTTTCTTCCCCAAGGAAGATTAGCCCTGAGCTAACATCTGCCAATCCTCCTTTTTTCTGAGGAAGACTGGCCCTGAGCTAACATCCATGCCCATCTTCCTCTACTTTATATGTGGCTTGCCACGTGGTGCCATGTCTGCACCCGGGATCAGAACCAGCAAACCACGGGCCACCGAAGCAGAACGTGCGCACTTAACTGCTGCACCACAGGGCCGGCACCTGGAATCCTTTCTTTACCTACTTGCATCTCTCAGTTAATTCTTACTTATCTTTTAGATACAAGATTAATTGTTTTCATTTTCAGGAAGCATTTCACTATATTTGAACAATGTGCTTTAAGTTTATAGTGCCAAGTCTTTTTACATTATGACGTAATTTGAGCTTATTATAAATACAGTCATGCACTTCATAACAATGTTCCAGATAATGTTGGATTGCATATGTGACGGCAGTCCCATAAGATTTGTACCATATAGCTTAAGCATGTAAGCAGGCTATACCATCTAGGTTTGTGTAAATACAGTCTATGATGATTGCACAATGACAAAATCAGTTCACAATGTATTTCTCAGAAGGCATCCCTGTCATTTTGCAATGTGTAATTTTAATTGCAATAATTATTTAATTACTATTTTTCACTTCCATTAAATGATAAGATTCACTAGTAGAAAGATTGCTGGATATACCATGAAATACAAAGCACATAAAAGTGCAACAGATACCTAAAATACACTCAATAACACTTAGAAAAAACTAATGCACAAATGAGACATTGAAAAAATGGAAATTGGGCAAAATAAGAGTCCAGAACTTCACCACAAATAGTACCAAATATAAATTCAAGACATAAAATGAAGCATGGCATTTTTAGACAATGATAAATTTTGGCATGTTTGGAAGATAACATAAATGCTTATTGGATCACCCCATGTTAGTCAAAACAATTTTGATTTTCATGTATTATAAGGTAAGTTTGGGAGAAAATATTTACATAAAACTTTTCAATGGAACCACTTTTTATTTTTAAGTTTATTTAGAGCCTCTTTCACATCTTTGTTCCGTAGGCTGTAAATCAGGGGGTTCAACATAGGAATTACAAGGGTGTAAAACAATGAGGTTATTTTGTCTTGATCTAGAGAGTAAGAAGAACTTGGCCGGAAATACATGAAGAGCAGAGTCCCCTGAAAAATTGCCACAGCGGTTAAGTGTGAGGTGCAAGTGGAGAAAGCTTTGAACCTCCCTTCAGTAGAGTGGATCTTTATCACTGCTAGGACGATATAACAGTAAGACACAAAAAGCCCTGAAAGGGTAATAAGTTCAATGAAGCCAAAAATGGTGAATATCACTAACTCATTGACCTGTGTATCTGAGCAAGAGAGCAATAAGAGGGGAGGGACATCACAGAAGAAATGGTTAATCTCATTTGACCCACAGAAACATAAGTGGAATGTTAATATTGTATTTATTGAAACATCCATAATTCCCACCATGTAAACCCCAGCCATGAGCAGAGAGCACACTTTGCTGGACATGTTGACTGTGTAGGCCAAGGGGTTGCTAATGGCCTTGTATCGATCAAAAGCCATGACTGCCAGCAGTAGACACTCAGAATCTGCAAAGGCACAGAAGATCAAGAATTGCAGTGCACAGCCATAGAAGGGAATTGACTTGCTCTTGGCAATGAAGCCTACAAGCATCCTGGGTCCAATTGCTGTGGAATAGCAGAGGTCACTGAAGGAGAGGTGGCTGAGAAAGAAATACATTGGTGTTTGCAGCTGGGAATCCATTCTAACTAAAATGATCATCCCGAGGTTTGCAACAAGATTGATGACATAAACACTTAGAAGTGTGGCAAATAGGGTAACTTCGATTCCAGGGGTGCTGTTAATTCCCAAGAGCAAGAATTCATTCAAAGAAGAGCAATTTTCCTCATCCATTTTCCTTTATTTTTCTTCGAAAATGCTACAGAAATGATCAAGGAAATAGTAGATGAAAGTTTTAACTCTTCTTGAAACAAAAATATAATCTGAAAGTCAGAAAGGATTTCTTTTAGTACATTATATTCTCTATCACAAGAAAATATCCCAGATAACTTTCATGGTTATGTCGTTAACAAATGTTAAAGTGTCTAGGATAGGATTTTGAGAAAGTTTGATTCTAAATCTAGATGTCATCTATAAGATATGTTGCTTGTGTGAACCTTCACTGCTGTATCTGGCAGTCAGTTATGAACTGAAAGCTCATTACAAGTCAAATATAATAAAGAAACACCTAAATTAAAGACAGCTGGAATATAAAGCCTTATTTTTGAAAAATAAATATCCAATTGAGCATAAAAGTGATTGCATTTTTCTGAGTTCTATAAGAATCATGATTTTCTTAAGACTGTGTATTAAATTCAGACACAATGTATATATCTCTGATTTAAAAATAATGTACAATAGGGGCTGGCCCGGTGCTGCAGTGGTTAAGTTCACACATTCTGCTTCAGTAGCCTGGATTTTGCCAGTTCAGATCCTGGGTGCAGACTTACATACTGCTTGTCAGGCCATGCTGTGGCAGGTGTCTCACATAAAATAGAGGAAAATGGGCATATATATTAGCTGAGGGTCAGTCTTCCTCAGCAAAAAGAACAATAAATGCCCCATGACCTAGTTGTTAAGTTCAACGTACTCCATTTCGGCAGCCTGGATTCTGTTCCCTGATGTAGACCTACACAACTAGTCTGCAGCCATGCTGTGGTGGTGACCCACATGCAAAATAGAGGAAGATTGTCACAGATCTTAGCTCAGGGCTAGTCTTCCTCAAGCACAAAAAGAGGAAGATTGGCAACAGATGTTAGCTCAGGGTAAATCTTCCTCACCAAAAAAAAAAAAAGAATAGACAAAAAGATACATCAAAATGCTATGACTCACTAAATTCTTCTGAAATATACAACAAAAACAATGTTAGTATAAAAAATAAATTAATTCCATCTATCAGGTACCCAGCCATGGTTCAGTTCTCTTATCGCTAATAAAAAAGCTTATTTAAACAAAAACTATTTCAGATCCTTGTAGAAGGTGTATAAGAAAGAGCAACACAAGATAGATGACTTTGTGGGTACAATGCTAACTAATATGTGATTTCCCAACTCTTTGAACACGGTCGGTGGTTCTTGCTCCCAGATCCACAGAAGTCAATTTTTGCACCATTAAACCCAGTCTAGAAATCACAGAAGCTACTTACCAAGTAAGGGGCTGTTTTTCAATTACTTAGATGAATAATTTCGCTGATAGGACCAGGGGCTTTTATATGCATTCTCATGTCATCAGGGACCTAGTAATTGATGGATGCCAGACAGGCTCACTTCCAAGGAAAACCTAGGGAATAATTAACAGGGTTACTGCCTTTGTGAATTTTTTTCTAAAAAAAATTTACACATTGGTAATATTTAATTGGTATAGTTAAGCATTGGTAATTATAATAGGAATACAATTAGTATTAATTTGAATAGGAAATTTTCACTCTCAGTAATATTGAGGTTGTTTTCAATGATACTTGGAATCCTACAAAGGATGCTCTTTATTATGGATGTGCTTTGCAAATAGTTCAAATATTTGAAAGTATAAATGTTGGAAAATGTTCATATTCTCTGCTCACTTTTTGTTTGGGTTGTTTGTTTTTTGTTGTTGACTTATATGAGTTCTTTATGTATTTTGGAAAATAACCCCTTGTCAGATATAAGATTTCTAAATACTTTCTCCCAGTTGGTGGGTTGCCTTTTCATTTTGTTCATGGTTTCTTTTACTGTGCAGAAGCTTTTAAGTCTGAGGTAGACCCATTTGTTTATTTTTTCTTTTGCTTGCCTTGCCTGAGTAGACATGGTATTAAAAAAGATACTGCTAAGGCCAATGTCAAATAGCATACTGACTATATTTTATTAGGAGTTTTACGATTTCAGGTCTTGCATTTCATGTCTTTAATCCATTTTGAGTTAGTTTTTGGGTATGGTGTAAGCTAATGCTCTACTTTCATTCTTTTGCAAGTCCAGTTTTCCCAGCACCATTTATTGAAGAGACTTTCCTTTCTCCATTGTATTTTCTTGGCTTCTTTGTCCAAAAATACCTCTCCGTAGATTTATGGTTTTATTTCTGGGCTTTCAATTCTGTTCCATTGATGTGTGTCTATTTTTGTGCCAGCACCATGCTGTTTTGATTACTATAGCTCTGTAGTATATTTTGAAGTCAGGAAGTTTGATATCTCCAGATTGGTTCTTTTTTCATAGAATTACTCCAGGTATTCTCAATCTTTCATTGTTCTACATAAATTTTAGGATTCTTTGTTCCTTTTGTGTGAAGAATGTCATTGGGATTCTGATTGGGATTGCATTGGATTTGTAGATTTCTTTAGTATATGGACAATTTAACTATGTTTATTTTTCTAATCCAAGAGCATGAAATAACTTTCCATTTCTTTGTGTCTTATTCAATTTCTTTCAATAATGTCTTACAGATTTCAGTGTATATGTCCTTCACCTCCTTGGTTAAATTTATTCCTAAGTATTTTATTCTTTTTGTTGTGATTGAAAATTGGATTGTGTTCTTGATTTATCTTTCTACTAGTTCATTGCTAGTGTGTAGAACTGCAACTGATTATTACATCTTGATTTTGTGAAGATATACAGATGGCCAACAGGCCCATGAAAAAAATGTTCAATATCACCAATTATTAGAGAAATTCAAAGCAAAACTGCAATGAGATATCACCTCACACCCGTCATAATGGCTATAATTAACAAGACAAAAAATAACAAGTTTTGGACAGGACATGGATAAAAAGGAATCCTTATACACTGCCAGCTGGAATGCAAACTGATGCATCCAGTATGGAAAACGGTATGTAGATTTCTCAAAAATTAAAAATAGAAATACCATATGATCCATCTTTTCCTCTACTAGGTATTTATCCAAAGAACATGAAATCAATAATTCAAAAAGATATATACACTCATTTGTTCATTGGAGGATTGTTCACAAGAGCAAAGATGTAGAAGCAGCCCAAATGCCCATTAATGGATGAATGGATAAAGAAAACATAGTATGTATGTACAAAGGAATACTACTCAGCCATAAAAAAATTTAAAAATTGTGCCATTTGCAACAACATGGATGGACCTTGAGAGTGTGACACTGAGCAAAATAAGTCAGACAGAGAAAGATAAATACCACATAATTTCATTCATGTGTGGAGGATAAATAAATACATAGATAAGGAGAACAGATTAGCGGTTACCAAAGAGGGCATGGAGGGAGGCTGAAAGAGGTAAAGGGACACATATGTATGGTGATGTTTAGAAACAGGACTGTTTGTGGTGAAGATGACACAGTCTATACAGAAACCAATATATAGTGATGTACACCTGAAATTTATTATTATTACTGTATTATGCTAACATTGGCGTATAACATTATATAAATTTAAGGTGTACATCATTAAATTTTGATTTCTGTGTAGACTACATCATGTTCACCACCCAAAGACTAATTACAATCCATCACTATACACATATTCCTTATTATCCCTTTCACACTCCTCCCTCTCTGGTAATAACCAATCCAATCTCTGTCTCTATGGGTTTGTTTGTCATTGTTTTATCTCCTATTTATGAGTGAGATCATATGGTATTTGACTTTTCCCCTGTGACTTATTTCACACCTGAAATTTACACAATGCTCTAAGCCAACATGACCTCAATAAAATAATTAAAAAATAAACAAAATAAGTAAAACTATTGCCATTTAAATAATTTCAAAAACCACATGGAAACTCAAAAAAAGTTACCTATTATTATCAGTACTGATAATTGATCAATTTTTTTACTGACATTGAAGAGTGAGCCCAGTGGAGGCTTCTGCAGAATTTGGTGTCAGTGGGTGCTTTCTGAGAAGATGGAAGGACATACAAAAAAGCATCTTACGTCAGAGAACATCAAAGTGATGTCATCATCAACTGAATCAGTCTTACATAAATGATGCACAACAGATTCACTAAAACAATGATATTTAAGGGCTAGTTGTTATTAGTGGAACTACAATAATTACATTATAGACTCTAAATTCTTTTCACAGCATAAAATGGGTTTGTTGATTCATATATCTGCAGAATCTTAGCGGAAATCATGTTAAAACTTACAACCAATGCAAAGATCCACTTCTAAATCATGAATGAAAAATGATCAGATAACCTCAGTTTAATTATTTCTTTTGTGTAAAGATTGGACCTGAGCTAACAACTGTTGCCAATCTTTTTTTCTTCTACTTCTTCACCCTAAAGCCCCCCAGTACAGAGTTGTACATTCTAGTTGTGAGTGCCTCTGGTTGTGCTATGTGGGACGCCACCTCAGCATGGCCTGACAAGCAGTGCCATGTCCACACCCAGGATCTGAACCAATGAAACCCTGGGCCCTGAAGCAGAGTGTACCAACTTACCCATTTGGCCACGGGGCCGCTCCCTCAGTTTAATTATTTCTAAGGGTAAGAATTTCACAACTTCAATCACTGTGGAAGTTCTAGCTGTTTAAAAAAATTCCCATCATGATGAGCTCAAATCTGAACTTATTTTTCCTCTTCATTTGCATTATGATGCTTCTACCTGTATGCTCACAATATTGAACTTATTTTGTGATTTGGGACAGTTTAGTTACAGAGTTAGAAAACTGCAAGTGAACTCTTCAAGCAAAAATGAGCGTTGGTTATTTTAGCATAACATGGCCATACTAGGAATTTAATAAAAATTTTGGTTACTGTGATAATAATGATGGTCACGAATGAATTTGAGAAATGTTTAAAAAATTATCACACAAAATAAATTTTATGAACATGCTTTCTTTATAAATTTACATCTTACAAAATGCAATTTAGAATTTCACCCACTAGAAGACAAAAATACACATTCT